TATTTAAGCTAATTACCAAAGATAAATGTATTTAATATGAAACAATCAATCTTACTGCAACAATAAAAACCACATCTATGCGCGTATGATGGATATTTATATAGTAATAGAATACACAAAATCAATCTACAAGGGTCAAAATAGGTTCGAATAAGAAACAAAAACAAACGTATATAGTATTCTGTACAATATATAGATTAACAAAAAAAAAAACTGATTTTTTTCCGTCTTTTTCTATTCGAACAAAGTTTCTTGGTAATTATTTTGTTTGAAATTGATTTATTGGTTTAGTTGTTATTTTTGGTGTCCAAAATAAACTTTTTGTATCGACACGTAAACGTCGTTTATCTTGATAATTATCAAATAAATCTTTTGTTATTGAAAGTACATATGAACCTTGTTGATAACGTATTATATTTAAATTTTGAAGAGCAGCTAAAACATCTTCTTTCTTAATAGCTGTTATTTCACTTAAATCACTATTAAATAAATAAATAAATAAATAGAATAAACGAAATTCATTTAAAATATACTTTATAGAAAGTGATGGATAGTCTGTGTCACCATCTTTTGGTTTATGTTTTAGTAATGCTTCTAATATTGATTCAGACCAATATCGACGATAAGATAATAAACCTAAATCGGATAATGGTTTTTCAGGTGTACCAATTTTACCTTCAAGTTTAGAAAGCGTATAACCTTAACATAGAAAAAAAAAAAGATATTCATTGGTTATTTCAAACAAATAAATCTTACTGAATTCAATCATAAAATGTCCATAACCTTTTTTTTGATAAGGTGGTAAAGTTAAAATGCATGATAAATTATAATCTTCACTTGATTCTTTATCCTAGATAAAAATATATTTACTTTTTTTTTTCGATTTATTATAGAAAATTTACTTTAGAAAAATAACCAACAATATGAAAACCTTGTGCATCAAATTCTGTTAAAATATAAAACATAAATGGATCTGTATCATAATATAATGTTTTATGATCAAGAAATAATTTTGCTAAAAGACACATGTTATGTGCATAAGATTTATTTTTTCGTCCATCAATTTCAAAAAATGATATTGTACCATGACGATATATTTCATTACCAGGTGGATGAATTAAAGTACACTTTGTCTTGAAAATGTTTAGAAAAGAAATTTAAAAAAAAAAATAAGAAGTATTTAATTTACTCGATGTCGTTTAAGTGCATCAAGATCTTTGCAATATTTTAGACAAAATTCACATATGTAAACAACTGGGCATGTTGTAAATTCCTACAAGAAAAAAATAAAATAAAATTTTATCGAATCACACTATAGTTCACTGATGAAAATATTCTACAAACACCTCAATAAGAATTGATTTTTAGCCATTGAATAATAGACAATATGAACAAGTAAAAGATCAAGATTTTAGCTATTCTCAGAACAAAATCAGCGTGCAGTTATTTTATTTTCCTATCACTTGATACTTAATAAATTAAAAGATTTCGCTTTGTTGAAAAGAGAATTGTATTAAGAAAAACGAAAATTGAAAAGTTAATTGATAAACAAAACTCGTCATTGAAAATTATTAAGCCAATATCAACAGTAAAACCTTGAGCTGTATGGAATAATTTTAATGATATTTATGAACATGACATCAGGCAAGAATATGTTCTATGTAATCAATGTAGGGAATTTTGGAATCATGTTTTTGTGAAACTAGATTCGCAGTTGTCTAACTCTTATACAAAAACTTGGTATCCACCATATAAGTTCTCTGTTGTAAAAAAATTCAGTTCCGTGCTCTTTAAAATTTATCCAATTTCATTATATATCATATATATATAACTGAACGTCGCATCTTCACAGACTTTTATAAATCTCGTAAGCTAAAATTCATCATTGTCATCTCAATATTTTCTATTTCGTATCTCTATTTGTAAAATATTAATCTAAAAGTTTTGTCTCTATTAAACAAATTATAAGTGAAAACTGAAAATTGAATTTCAGAATATGTTTTCAATAACTGGAATCATAGGTTTGACTATGGATGTGAAATCTTCATATCAATACTGAACAGTTAACTATCGAAACAAGATCTATTGACCCGCTAATTACACAGACATCATCATTTGCTTCAATATTGACACAATAACTCTATTGAAATAGACCCTGTTTATAGTGGAGTGTTCCTATGCCTTAGTGAACACTAATATCAATGTATTTGTAATAATCAGTAAATTGAAACTGCACATCCTTAAGTTTAACATTGATACTAAAGGTAGACAATCACTTTTTTTAAGTTTGTCATCGACTTCTTTTGAACATCCTTTCTATTGTTGCTAATTCTTCCTATGTAAAAATGAATTTACCTCTGGATAAGGTGAAAAATACCATGGTTTAATAAAATATCTTCCAAGATGTATTAAATTAATATTTTTCACTTTTGTAACTGCATGTGCACCACTTTGATGTGTATTTCCATTTCCTCGTGCTTTTGTGGGTGCTATTATCGCTGATGCTGATGCTGAAAAATTCGTTAATGGTGGAAGAGTTGCTGCACGTGATAAATCACTATTCAATGAATCAGCATCATCAGAAAGAAAAAATGTTGTTGTATTTCCAGATTGTATTTCACTAGATGCACTAGGATTTTTTGTTGTTGTTGTTGTTGTTGTTGTACTTAGTGGAACTGTTCGTGGCTGAGATGTGATAGACGCTTCTTGAGGAATATTATTTGATGATGATGATGAATTTGATGATGAAGGAGGAGCTAATTCTTTTAAATTCATTTTATCAATAGTAACCCATTCATCAAGACGTCGATTAAAATTGACATAATGAATATAAAATTCATATACACCATCAACTTCACGCATACTAACTATTTCAGCTGGTACTAAAAGACATAAATCATGATTTTAATTCTTTCTACTTATTTATTTATTTTCTTCTTACCGAAAGTCTTTTGGATATCCATATAAACAGGTACACGACAACCTTCGGTCATTTTAGGCTAATAAAAAAAATAAACAATAGTTTTTAAAATTATTTTGAAAATAAAAAATGAAATAACTTACAAGAGGTTGCACGACTTTCGTATCCAATGGACCGATTGGTTCGAGCGGCGTTTCCGTCAATTTGGTTTGGGCCGGCTCGGTGACCATTGGCATTTTTTGCACCATATATAATAGTTTAAAGCAACATAAAATCTATAAAATAAAATATAAAAGTTCAATATATATGTTCTTATATCTAGTGAGTAACTAATATACAACAGCGTAATTGGGAAACTGATAGAAGAAAAGCAGAAATAAATAAACTGAAGTTGACTTCATCATGAATCGTCATAATAGAATATATTTATCAGCCAATCATAAGTCGCCTTTATTGTTTTTTTTGTTTATTATTCTAAGAATGAAATAAATACATTTTTCAAAAATTTTTATTAGAAACAAACTCAACGTTTCGAATTTTTAGTCTAATATATTTGGAGGTTAAATACTCATTTTTGATTGGTTATTAACTATCTTAATGTTGAAACTAGTTGTTGAAATTGAAACATTGAGTTTGGAAATTGTCGAAATGAAAAACATTAGTCACGACTAAACATCGTCTTGTTATTGATGAAAAGAGCAGGTATTTATTTTAATTAGTCGACATTTTTATAAAACTTTTATGGCAATGTTTTACTTGGAAATTACTGCCTTATGCATGATTTGAATCATATGTGGAATTTATCGCAATTCAGTTCTAAACGACCATTAAAGGCTGACTTTTAACGTGTAGTGTTGTTCAAAATGTCTTTATGTATTCCACACATCAATTTGTAATCATAGTTATATTTGGTTAATAGAAAAAAATGTGCAAATCTGAGATCCAGATGTCGATTTCATGTAGTGCGAGACTCATCGGATATATTTTAGAAAGAGTAAAAACAAAGGAATTATGACATCGTTATCAGAATTTTATTGAAAACAGTAATATTTCGCTTAAATTATGGAATAAATTTAGCAATGAAGACAGGAAAGTGAAGAGTAAACATTAGAGCCCATAAGGTTAGTCCTAGACCAGATGGGCTCTATTCTACATATTTCTTAGACACTCGCCTAAGAAAAGTGTAGGTCGCACGAGTCATTAAATACGAAAAACAAGAAAAAATTATCTCATATCTTCGGAGCGACTATCTTATTCCGATTAGAAAATTTCACTGACAGTATCAAAGTACGGTTCGAGCGAATTCAAAAAATTTTGTACTCGACGGATTCTATTAAATATCCACAAAAATTCAAAGACCTTGGATATGGTAAATTTGGTAAAATGAGTTTGCGATTGAGCTTAAACTCATCTGTGCTTATGTTATTATCTTTCAGTGATGCACCAGCTTCAATTTAAATTCTAGCCATGTTCGTTCTCGTCAAAAAATCAAGATTGGTAAATCTATGGAAGAAAATAACATAAGTAAAAGTCGGCCTAAACTCAAACTTAAATCAGTCGAGTACTTTTAGTACCAAATCCATATTCCTAAACGGTTTAGATTTGAGTTTAATGTATGTTTAGTGCATAGCGATCAAGTCTCAAAAAAAAACAGGGACGCGGCGTTGTGTGGATGATATTCCACAACCAAAGAGTGTCAGGCCTCATGTGCCTCCCATAAGTTACACCTCTGAATGAATTCATTTCGAATAAACTTTCACATAAATTTTTACGTGCGTTTATATTTTGAGTTCTAGAATTCAAGTGTTTTTAGTCTGCATACCATTGCTTCTCAGTTCGTATTTACTTACTAGGTTACTCAGCCATCAATCTATTTTTTTTTACGCCCGACATTTTTAATGTAATGCATTTATTCTGTTCTCTTAGCCATTTTTATGTTTTGCTTTTTTTGTTTAATTTATTCAATGTTTGCATCCTATCAAATATATACGTAACCGACAAAACAACTTAAGAGCTTGCATAATCTAAGCATATAAAAAGTTTTTTTCCTCATTCTTTTACTTTGAACAACATATTAACAATGAAACAAGGAGCAGCTTTACCTGTGTACGAGTCTCTTTTTTTTTTCTTCCGTATTATTAAATATAAAGATCTCTATTTATTAAGACTGTTCGCCAATGGACGATCATATTCGAATACTTCATTAGGTCGAGCAACATCCAACGTTAGGTTAATTTATTATAATTGAATTGCAAATATATTTGGATTCTGTAATTTTGATTTTATTTTATTTAGTCTATCATCTTCCATTAGGCAAGTGTTTCTCGCCAATTCTTGTTTGAAAAATGCTGTACAATATCGTCTTCCATTGAAGAAACTTAAACCTGAACCATGGCAACGACTTTTTTATGTATTTTTCATACATATAGAAAGATATATTGTTTTAAAGTTTGGTTTGATTTTGATAGGTTAAAAAACAACAAGAGTCAACAATAAAGCAAAATAATTCAAATCCTGATTCGCTTATAAATAAGGATTTGTTTGCTTCATTCAATGAACATTCTAATTTTGATGAAAACTCTCAGTAAGAAAATAAAAATCTGTTTTTGTTTTCATTTACAAATTAATTTTGTTTTTTCTGTTGATTGTCAAATAGATGTTCTTCTTTGCCTGGACCAATGCAAGGACATTTGGATCATGTATATGAACAAATGAATGAAATAACATTACAATTAGCTGAAGAACGTCTTAAACACAAACAAACACAAATCAAAGTATTCTATTGCATCTTTTTTTATCTTTATAACAGAAGAAAAATGTACTTGTCTAGGCTGAAGAAATACTTTTCAATCAATTACAAGATCATGAGAAACGATTTCAAGAATTACAAAAGCATCAATTACTTGATCATAAAAAAAAATTGAAAGAACAAGAAAAGAAATTTTTGGAATTATTGAATGAAAAACAAATGCAATGTCTTAAACGTGAAGAACAATTAAGAACTGAACTTGAATTTGTAAAACAATCGTTTCATACATATAAAGTGAAAAATTATTTTTATTTATGTTTGCTGTTTCTTTGACTATCAAAATACTTTATTCTTCTAGGTTGCCCTGAAAAAAGAGAATGATGAAAAACTTCCAATGAAACTACCTGAAGTATTAAGAACAATGAAAAAAGAACAACCGAAGAAAAAAGAAGATATTGATAGAAAAATCCATGAAGCTGTTATGAACGAACGGAAAAATATTAGTTTTAGACAACAAAACGAAATTGAAGAAATACAAAAACAACATAAAAAAGAAATTGAAGTAGATATAATTTCATGAAAATAGCTGTTTATCAAAGATTATCTATGTAGACTCTTCAAAAAACCATTGTCGATACAGCTGTAGAACGTGAACATATAGAATCTTTGAGTAAAAACTTAACATCAACCAAACTTGAACTTGTTGAAACAAAAGAACGTGCAGTTAAATTAGCTACGAAACTGAACGATCTTAAAATTCAACATAATGAAACAGTATGTGGATTTTATTTCTCATCATTATTCTTATCTTCTTTTTTTTTTAGATTCGAGAATTCAATGAATATCGTTTACGTTCTAATGAAAAAACGAAACAACCTTGAAAACTTTATGCCAAATGAATTGACCAATTAAATGTAAAAAAAAAACATGTTGATCTTTGGTAAATCTAACAAACGTACCATAATACTATGGTGCTCAGTGTATTTTTTTTTATATGTTTTTGTTAGCTTTCATTCGATCGATTTGATTCTTTGTGAAAAAATATGTACTATATATATTTCCTTACGAAGTCCATACTTTTTCTACGCATATACATAATTAATTGTTTTTTTTTTCTACCAAAATGTTTGCTGGAGATAATGAGAATCAATGAAACCTTTTTTTTTTTGAATAACTTTGCTGTAATGATTAATCATTCGATGGCTTCATGTGATTGCATACAAAAGTCCAATCGTTCTTGCATATCTTATTGCCAAAGATGAAAGCGATAAAACTCTTTTATGGATTCATTAAAGACATATTCTTTTCAAGTAAATTAACTTCCAATCGAACCATTGGCTTTTTAATCGAAAAATCAACTTGCTTCGATTTATTATTTCTTTTTGATAGTCTTCTACTGATATATGGTTACCCTAAACTTCATATACGTGATCTAATAGAGAAAATCTTTTAATTGTAAAGTTCTTGTTTTTCTATAAGCAGTTTGTAACTCGACTTTGTTATTTAAAAAAAAAAGGTTCTTAGTACTAGAAGAACAAGAAAAAAGATTTTGTACATAATTTTCTTTACAAAATGGAATCCTTTTCTCGAGAATTTTCTCTCAGATGATGAGATCTGACGAATTTTGAAAACATTGGTAAAATTCTAACTATTTCCATGTATGAAAAAAAAAAATTGTTCGAAAAGTTTGAGCGTTTGAAAGAAGAATAGCGTAAAAAATTAGAACACGTAATAAACAATGATTTTAACAGAAATTATTTGTGTTTAAAATTAAAAATGTTTTGTTTTTTTTAGTTATTAGAAAATTATATATATGAAAAAATGTAATGAATTAATCAATGAAATCGATCATCAAATTAAAACTCAACTTCAACAAAAAAACATTTCTTTTCGGTGATTTCAAATACTTGTTTTTTATTGAACAAACATTATTTTTTGAAGAAGTTATTCAATATTTACACTATCTCAACTAATGTACTAAATATTGTCAATGGATTTATGCTATTGTATCTTAATATGAGTTATCAGTGTGACACATTGTCGTTGGTCAATCGCTATGTCATATTCATTATTCAACTGTTCAAATGAACTAACAAGGATTTATAATAGAACTATTCGAATATACCATATCTATGATATTGAACATAAACATTATCGACATCAAATTTATGATCTAATCAACGATTAAAAACAAACCGATTTTAGATTGTCTTTAATATGTATTTGAATTATTTATTTTTTTTCATAGAAATTGTATTTTTATTGAAAGAAATGTTTTATTTGTTTTTTTTTACTCTTAGCTTTATTATCTTTTTCAAAGTTTCAATTTCAATCCATATAGTTTTCATGATAAGAATTGTAGGGAATTAGGAAATATTGTTTGTAGGGTATATCATAGAAAAATTCCTTTTATAGTTTTTGTTGATACTAAATTTTCATGATATTTTTGTTTCCGTCAACATTTTCACAAAGAAATGTTCATCCGTCTAAGTCTCATGCTAAAAATTTCAAAAATACAAAGACTATCGAAGTACATAGAGAGAGAGAGAGTTATTGAAAATTGAATTACTTATGAAGAACTTACTTACATCTATTATCTTAAATTAACAGATAAATAATATTCATTCTTATATATACGTATATTATTTGTAATTTTAGATGCAGAATAGTAATTTACTTCGTCTTTTCGAAGATCTTTTGATCACATCGAAAAATGTCGAATATATTGAATTACTTGAACGTATTAATATTGAATTATCCAATATATCATCATCAATTCAATTTGAACAAGTTCATCAACATATACCATGGTCAAATTTATTTGATTTACTTCGATCAAATAAAAATGATGAAATTGAACGTCTTCTATGTGCAATAATTGAACATTTTATAAATAATCTAACTATTGAACAAATAATGACTAATTTTTATTCATTATTAAATACTGGTCTTGATAATCAAACAGGTTTATCTCAAAGAGGAAAACTTTTATGTTTAAAAGCATTTGAAAAATTAACTCATTGTACAACAACTGAATGTTTTATTGTTATACAAAATTTATTTCAATATACTCATATAAATGCATTACTTCATCTTTTTCTTGATAGTAATGAACAAATATTATGGTTAAAATCAAAAGATATTCTTGAACAAATGATTCATACTGTTAGTCGTATTGATGATAAACAAATATTTGAAAAATATTTACATGAACATTATTTTCATGATATAAATAGAAAAATTTTACTTTCATCAAATAAATATAATGAAATTATTAAACTTCGTCTATATGAATATTTAATTAATTTATGTTTAATTGATTCACGTATATATGAACATATTACAGAAGAACAACATTTACTTGATCAATTTTTATATGATTGTATACATAGTGATACAGATATATTATATTTAATGAATTGTTTAGAATTGTTAACTATATTAACACAAAAATCACATACATTGGCTTATTTACAAAATAAAACAAATGTTATTGATCATTATCTACATTTATTATTATTGACAAATGATGAAAATAGTTTATATGATTTAGTTAAACCAGGTTTTATTAAATTTTTTGGTTGTTATCTACGTAATTATCTTGTTCTACTTGAAACAAATATAACAAATAATCAACAAAATCAATTACTCGAACGATTTCTACCAATTCTATTTGATATTCTTCTTCAATCTGATTCAAGTTCTTACATTACTATTGGTTTAGGTAAGATATCGATTTTATCAATAAAAAAAGAAAATTAAAATGTAATGTTAAATAAGCAAATTTAAGACATTTTCTATTACGTTTGTGTTTATGTCTATAAAATATTATTGATCATTTGTATTATTTATGATTCATAGATAGCCTATCACTAGGATTATGATTTCAAGATTTTATTGAAGAACTCAGCTAACAATACTTTGAGAAATGACTAAATGGACAATATGGGTCCATAACGACTAACTTTAGTTACGAATAAAACATTTCTGCAACTTTTCCGAGGATTTCCAAAAATTCATCAAGATAGAACAATGCTTATTTTTTTCAGAAATTAGAGATCATTCAACTATTTTTAAACAAAATTCTTTTTTTTTACTTGTTTAGATACAATTGGATTCATTGGTAAAACATTAAATGGAAAAGAATATATACTTTCAAATGCTAAATTTGGTGATTTTATTGAAAAATTAGTTCAAATGATACGTTCATCTCAATCTGATATTCGGTAAGATTTTCGAAAAAAAAGAAAGAAATATTATTACTATTATTATAAATATTCGTTCATAATTTTAGTATTCGTTGTCTTGCTTGTCTTGCTGATTTATTTCATATATCAACATTTAATAGTTCATCATCACATGCTTGGTCTCTTACAGAACAAATTTATCGTTTATGTAATCGAGTATTTTCGATTTTATCAATTATTATTGAAATAGCTAAACAACCATTTATTGATTTACGTCTTGCTGCTTATCGATGTTTATTTGAATTAACACGATCACCATGGGCATTACATGCTATGAATACTGAACCTGGTTTTATTGAGTTTCTTCTTAATCGTTCAACAGAAAAAGATAAAGAAGGAAAAGAAGCAAAATTTTCTATCATTCAATCGATCTGTCAAAATGGTGACGAAGCTAAATTAGCAATGGGAAATGTTAATTATTTAAAATTCAGACGTTATGTTAATGAAGGAGTTTTTTATGTTGAACCCGAGGCTAATGTTGCTTTTGAAGGATCAAACGAATAGTTTTACCCCTTGCTAACTTTATTATTAAAAAAAAAAAAACCAAAATAAACAACTTAAATTTTTTATTTCAGATATTTCATGGCTAATATTGCCGAACAGCTTCAACAAGCAGTCAATAAAGGTCTTTCTCATAAAGAACTTATTGACAAGTATGTATTTTCATTTTCAACAGTTTCACAAATCTTGAATTAGTATCAGTAGACTTTGAAAAAAATAATTCGGTTAATTTAGGCTATTGTATTTCAATTTAAAATATATGTAAAGATAAACATTGATTGACGTTGAAATTATTGACAATGATAAGTGATTTCGAGGAAAGCAGAGCGACTTATGATTATATTAATATTTTCTTCGTAAAATATAAGTTTTTCGTCTCATGTAATGTTACATTCATATACTTCGATTTTCTTGAGATTTAGATTGTAAATCGAAATATTATATATTGTTCTTCAGCAAATCAATAACGTCTAATTATGTATTCAAATTTTGATGAATTCTTTCTCGTATTTTTATATAAAATTATAATAATCAAGTTGTCTTTTATTGAATGACATATGAATGAAAAGTGTTCATTATTATTAGATTCTTAAAAACCTAACTTTAAAGATTTTTTATATAAAAAATCACATTCTACAGCTCGATCATGTTGTAAATGATTTATACTAATATAATTATTTCATTATCAAAATGTGTTCTGTGGATCAGTGATCCATTCTCCTAGTCACTTTGCAAGTGCATTAATTAATAGCTATGCATGAAAAAATACCAAATATCGAAAAACATGACGTTTTACTTTGTGTCGCGTTTTTTTTTTTCAAAATCAACGTTTTCGCGAAAAATTGAAAATTTCTCCCTTTTTCTTCCAGACACTTCGACCGATTGAGCTGAAATTTTTTGTATGACAACTCCGATCTAATTAGAATGTATATACATTTTTTTAAAATAATGTTGTGGTTGTTTTTGACAGGGCTTCAAATATTTTAGGCATCCAAAGAGAAAGAAATAATATTTTTTAAAGAAGAAAAACGTACAGGTCCGATTTGGTCGTAGTTGTTGCAAAAAAAACATCAGGTCATTTTTTGGCAGTTGTATCCCGTATGTCTTATAGAAGAAAAGTATTTGGGCATGCT